ACCAGGCCACCATCAGCCTGCAGATGGGCACCAACAAGGGCGCCAGCCAGGTTTGTGTGGTCGGTGGGACACCTGGTGAGATAGGGCTGGTGGGTGGGGCTGCTATCTCTGTGGTTTGACCACTGTTCCTTCCTTAGGCTGGCATGACTGCACCAGGCACCAAGCGGCAGATCTTTGAGCCAGGACTGGGCATGGAACACTGTGACACACTCAACGTCAGCCTGCAGATGGGCAGCAACAAGGGGGCCTCACAGAGGGGCATGACAGTGTATGGGCTGCCCCGTCAGGTGTATGATCCCAAATACTGCCTGACTCCAGAATACCCAGAGCTGGGAGAGCCCACCCACAATCACCATCCACACAACTACTATAACTCTGCCTAGGGGCCCCCAGGGGGCTGGCTGCTGCTCTTGGCTGGACCCAGCTGGCCCAGCCAACCCCATCTCCTGCATGGCGTCCCCCAACCCCCTGGCATCTGTCTATAGGGTTACAGTTTGGGGAGATCAGGCCGAGGGGGGCGGTGGGAAGGGGGCCCCTCATCCCTGTAGCTCTTGAAGGGCCCAACACAGAATTGGGTGTCCCCGACAGCACCCAAAGGACGCTGCCCCCTTTTACTCCCTCACAAGCGAGTACCTCCCAGAACCAGAAACCCTCCAAGCGAAGCTCCCAGAACCCAGGCTTGGCCTGACCCCTGCCCCATTCCTGCAGTGGGAGCAGAATGCATGCCCGAAATGCAGCGGACACACACAGTTTGGTTTTTGCGGTGCTGGCGTTTGTGGATGTGACAGCAGCGTTTGTAACTCGAGCACTTTCTTTTCTATTTCACTGGAGCACAATAAATGGCTGTGACGTCATCCGAGTCTCAGGGCAGCTGTTTAGATAGCTCCCTCATTCTTCCAGACATACGTACGCTGGGACCAGCGAGATGGTTCAGAGCTAGAAAAGGAACTTGACACCAAGCTCGGTGACCTAAGTTCAATCCTTGTGACCCACACGGTAGAAGAGAATCAGTTCCTGCAGCATCTTCTGACCTCCACACAAGTCATGGGATACACATAATCTTCCCTAAATAAATATGTAATTTAAAAAATTAAATAGATATGCCTACAGACCTTACACCACTACACAGGGCAGGCAAATGCCACACACACTTAAACAAAATGATGTGTGAGAGTCCTGGGGTCCCCAGATTGTGTGCAAGTGGTGTGGGTCGACACTACTGGTTCCTAGTGTTGGCAGAGCAGCTGAGTTAACCTGGGGGCATGGCTTTCTCCGTATGCCTGCCCTGTACTCAGCAGTCTATCTTCTTCAAACTGAATCCCATGGGTTGGTGAGATGCCTCAACTGGTAAAGGTATCTGCTGTCAAGTCTGACAACTCAAGTTCAATCCCCAGGTCCTACAGGATGGAGAGTCAACTCCCAGTAAATTGTTCTCTTCCTCTTGGCACAGCATGCACTCACCCCCTACTCAGATAAATGTCTCAGCAACAAACAGCTGAGTCCCAGGACTGCCTACCATCTTCAAAGTCTAGACAGGACTGTGACCTCACCTTGCTTCAGCAAGGACCCTCTTTTCTGGAAGAAGGCCGTAGATATTCTGCCTGAAAGTCAGTGTCAGCTGGTCAGGGCTTCAAGGAGAGAATGCAGAAAACTGGGAGGGAGCCCGGAGCGATCCCTTCCCACTCCGTCACCCCTAGGACAGAGGCTGCAGCTGTAACCCTTGGAGGCACCAGAAATTAAGGCCCCTGTGTTCTGGGCAGGCTATGCTGAGGCTCTGCCTGTCAGGTGGGTGGCAGTGACAGAGGGCTCTGGTGTAGCACTAAGTACCCCTTCTGCGGAATCCTGCGGATACTAGTCTAGAAAACTAGCCACTGCTGTTGCCTGGGGGTGCTGGCACCTTGGTGGGCCAAGGGGCTATCACTGAAGGGTGGGGCTCTGGGATAAGATCTGACAGACAGCCTAGCAGCCACCACTTGTGGGCCAGTTTACTGCCCTTCCTTAGCTGTTTACCTGCTCTGTGGTGGCCGCAGAACCACTTAATGCCAGGTCTATTACCTGCTCATTCAGGATTTCTGTGTTCCTGGCCGTCCTGAACTCACTCTGTAGACCAGGCTGGCATCAAACTCAGAGATCCACCTGCCTCTGCCTCTCGGAGTGTTGGGATTAAAAGTGTGTGCCACCATGCCTGGCACCAGCAGTTTTTTATGTGTGGTCTACACAACTGTTTGTGTGGGCACGTGCATGGTGAACATGAGGGTGCAGGCTGACGTCCTGTCATCCTTGGGGCGCCTTCACTTTATTTTTAGGGACAGGATCCTCCCCAATCCATGGTCCACTGATGTCTTTAGGCTGGCTGGACAGAACTCCAGAGATCTGCCTGTCTCTACCACCCTAGCACTGGGACTAGACACGGCTTTTACAATGTGTTAGCAGGTCACTTGGTTCAGGTCTCTTGTTGTCTTTGAGAACATGGAAGGGCACATGGTGTTCTCAGCGTGCCCACTCCGACACTGCCTCCAGCTTTCCAAGAATCCTCAGCACCCTCAGAAAATGTTCCTTCTGTGAGCTAATATTACTTTCCCAGTGGCCCAAAGCACCCAGGACAGCCGAGACCTAAGCCCAGAACCTGAACTTACAAGTAATTAAAATGGTGGGTTGTGAAGCTAAGCTTCCTGGGTCAAGTGCTTCTGAGTATTTCCGGCTGCAGGAATCGGCCTCCCCTCTCAGGTCTGTTTGTCTCTGAACCTGGAGCTGTGTTGTCACCTGCTTCATTGCCAGTGTAGGTGCCACCCTTTGCGTCGACTGTCTACAAGTCCTGTACCTATGAGTACAGGAGTGTGGCAGAGGGGGCCAGAGCCGGCCTCAGGTGGTGCTCCTCACTTGCTATCCACCTTTTTTATCTTGATTTTGGGCTGGAAAATAAAAATGGCTCAGTGGTTGAGAGCACTTTCTGCTCTTATAGAGGACTCAAGTTTAGCTCCCTGTACCCATGTTAACAGTTCATGACTGTCACTCCAGTTCCACGGGATCCAACATCCTTTTCTCACCTCCAGGGACACATTTATGTGTGTTCGTGCACACATATACAAAATAGATAAGGACTGGGAACTCAGGGCTGGAGAACTGGCTCAGCAGTTACGAGCACTCACTATTATTCAGGTCTGGGTGTGGGTCCCAGCACCCGCATGGCAGCTCACGACTATCTGTAACTCCAGTTCTAGTAGCTCCAATACTCTTTGACCTCAACACTGCAACTATGTGGTACAGACACCAGGCAAAATACATACTCATACACATAAAAACTGTGTAAAAAATTTAAGTATATATTTAGTGTATGGGTGCCACAGAGCAGGTGTGGCCAGAGACACCAGAGGGTTGGCGCTTTCTTCCCACCATGGGAGGGAGTACATGTCAGGCTTACACAGCAAACCCTTTGCCAGCTGAGACAGCTAGTTAGCCCAGTTTTGTATTTAAAATAAATTTGATATTATTACGTGTGTGGGATGTGGGAGTTTGTGTGCTACAGAGCACAAATGAAGGTCAGAGGACAACTTCAGAAAGCAGTTCTCCCCCCACCATGAGGATCCTAGGGACTGACTTAGGGCATCAGGAGTGTGAGCTGAGACATTTAACTTTTTTTGTTTGGTTTGGCATTTTGAGACCGGATCTCACTATGTAGCCTTGGCTGGCCCAGAACTCAGATCTTCCTACCTCTCCCTTCTGAGGGCTGGAGATGGCTCAGTGGTTAAGAGTACTTGCTGTTTTGCAGAGGACCTGAGTTCTGGTCTTAGCACCACAGCAGGTAACTCAGAATCCTAATTCTCAGCTCCAAGAGAGCCAACGTCTCTGCCTCTCCAGGTCTTCACACAAGCCAACAGGCAGACACAACCACCCACATGTAACTGGAATAAAAACAAATCTCTGTAAGTGTGCACTATTGTGCCCAGCCCAATCATGCTTTTTGAGACAGGGTTTCTCATTGGCCTCGAACTAGCCAATTAGGCTAGGCTATCTGGTGGCAAGCCCCAGGGATCTGCTAGTTTCTGTCTCTTTGGCACTGGGTTCTGGGGATCAAGCCAAGGTCCTCTTGTTTGCATAGCAAGGACTTTACTGCCTGAACTACAGCAGAAAAACCCCAGCCATCTCTATGGTTTTTACTCTGATTGCTGTGAACACAAAGCAAGATGTCTGTTTGGTCCACTCATGTACTGTGCACCCAGAATCATCCAATTATGTAATTATTATTATTATTATTTTGTTTTCTGGTAAGAGGGTTTCTTTCTGTATCCCTGGTGTCCTGGAACTCACTCTTTAGACTAGGCTGGCCTCAAACTCATAGAGATCCGCCTGCCTCTACCTCCCAAGTGCTGGGAGAACACAACTGGGTGTTCTAGCTCTATAATTAGCTGGGGCAGAAGGATAAATCTGAGATGGTCCTGGGCTGCATAGTTTGTCTCAAACACTACCACTGGTTGGGTAGGGCGGCACGCATCTTTCATCCTAGCATTTGGGGCAGAGGCAAGCAGATTTCTGAGCATGAGGCCAGCCTGGTCCACACAGTAAAATCCTATTATCAATCCCCTCCCCCCACCGAAAAAACCAAACCAAACCATTTACTACCAAGAACTGAGAATATAACTCAGTTGGCAGAGCATCTGTCTAACACGCACAAAGCCCTGGGTCTGATTATCAGTACCAAATGAACTAGGTGTGGTAGTGCCCACCTGTAATGCCAGCACTTGGGACATAAAGGCGGGGGGGGGGGGGGATCAGGAATTCAGGGCCACTCTCAGATTCATAGCAAGTTCAAGGTCAGTCTGGTACTCCACCTCCAATCTTACTAACCCCGCCCTCACAAAGAAAACAATAGAAAAATAGTTTGAAAAGCTGACCAAACCATACATCATAGGACCACCAAGATCTCTTCTGAAAGCCTTAGCCCCAAATCCCACTTTCCCTTCTAGAACCGGGGCCTCGTAACCCAAGAAAGCACAGATAGATAGGGGATCTGTACTGGCTGCTTTATTGACAGGTTTGTGAATGACAGCTGTCACTGAACCAGCCCCTACCTTTTCTACAAAAGCAATCGAAGAGGAAAACGGGCACCCGGCAAAGCCCAGCCAAGGGATCTGGTTGGTCAGCAGCCTTGACTCCCAGGCCACAAGCACAAGGAGGTGGGAAGAACGGGAAGTCCAGTTAGTTCCCTGAGGGCAAGGTGCTGGTGAGGTGGCTTAGGAGACTGGAGGTCCCACAGCTATTTCTTGCCTGGGATGTCGAGAAACTGTCACCAGAGGAGCCAGGAACCTAAAGTTTGGGGGCAGGGCTGGGAGCTGAAGAAGGGTGCAACTCAAAGGCTTTCAGAGTCATTTGAGACATAGGTTCTGAAGTTTGAGGCCACCCTGGGCAGCATGGTGAGACCCAGCAACCCCTCACCTCCACGCCAGCTACAAGCAGCCAGGGCCACTGTTATAGCCACACCTGCAGCCACACACACATCTACTCCATACACAGAGGGAGGGCTGCCACAGCTCTGGACCTACACCCTGGAATGTCTCTGGATTGGTACCCAAGTTGGGGACTGTTGAGGGGGCAGGTCCTTGGTATTGCTACTGATTGGCTGCCTCGCAGGCGTCTATCCAATCGCTGTACACATCCACTGGTTCTGACAGATCTGAAACACAGGTCAAGGATGATTTGTGGCAGTGACGCCCTCTCCTGGGAACATTTCTGCTATGACAGAGTCAATCGGACCCCTGCCCTGTGCCTTGTCACTTAGTGTTAACTTAGTAGACAATGTCCATTCTCCTAGGTGGCAGCGGCTCCATCCCTGGCCACAGGGCCAGAGCAGCAGGAGTGACTGACAGCTCCTTGTCTTTGGTCACCAGCCCTTGAGCACCCCCTTCTCTCATTCCCCAGACATCAGCTGACTTTATAAGGATACACGTAATGGGTGTCTGGAACTCCTCTAGGCACACGGTGCAGGAGATGACTCCAGTGTTGCGGGCACGGTCCCTGCAATGGACAAGGTGAAATGATGCATGAGAAATGAGCCCTGGACCTCTGGGGGCAACCCAGCCAGCAGGAAGGCCCAGGGAAGCCTGAATGCCCACAGTGGTAGGTTTGCCCATCTTAACCATCCACTTACATTTTCACATCACAAGACTTCTCATGGTTGCAGAAAGGGCAAGTGAACTGGGTCTCCAGGGTGCCTGTCATCTTCTTCTTGGGGGGTGGCTTCCTTTTAGACTTCCTTCGTCCCATGGCTGCCGGGGGGTGAAACCTGTGGGCAGAGGACAGGGGTCAAAAGCTGGAGGAAGCTGGTGACTCTCTACCCCCGTCGTCTGGAAGCAGGCTGGAGGCCACCAGTAGTGGCCCACAGAGAAAGGAAGATGTACACTATGACATCCAGGCTTCCACCTGAGAAATCCAGGCTCCTGACCTTAGACACAATAGTCTCTGTGTACACTCTGCGCAGTATGGCCGAGAACAGCTTTTAACCTTGGTTTTCAACTTACTGTGTGACTCTAGGTAAGTCACTGAAGATTTCTGTGTTCCAGGAGACCACTTCCTAAATATAACTCCAGCAGCACAGACACTGAGAGATACAATTAATAAACGGGACTTTTTGAAAGAAGTCTTCTGTAAAGGAAAGGACATGGTCAACAAGACAAAGCAGCCTACATAATGGGAAAAGATCTTTACCAACCCCATATCAGACAGAGGTCTGATCTCCAAAATATACAAAGAACTCAAGAAATTGATCATCAAAAGAACAAACAAATGGAGTACAAAGAACTCTCAACAGAGGAATCTAAAATGGCTGAAAGACACTTAAGAAAATGTTCCACATCCTTAGCCATCAGAGAAATACAAATCAAAACAACTCTGAGATTCCATCTTACACCTGTAAGAATGGCCAAGATCAAAAACACTGATGACAACTTATGCTGGAGAGGTTGTGGGGTAAAGGGAACACTCTTGCATTGCTGGTGGGAATGTAAGCTGCTACAGCCCTTTTGGATGTCAGTGTGACGACTTCTCAGAAAATTAGGAAACAACCTTCTTCAAAACCTAGAAATACCACTTTTGGGTATATATCCAAAGGATGGCGAATCGTACCACAAGGACATGTGCTCAACTATGTTCATAGCAGCTTGGTTTGTCATAGCCAGAACCTGGAAACAACCTAAATGCCCCTTGACCGAAGAATGGATAAGGAAAATGTGGTACATTTACACAACGGAGAATTACACACAGCAGAAAAAAAATAAAGACATTTTGAAATTTTCAGGCAAATGGATGGAGCTAGAAAACATCATTTTGAGTGAGGTAACCCAGACCCAGAAAGACAATTATCATATATACTCACTCATAAATGGCTTTTAGACATAAAGCAAAGAAAATCCAGACTAAAATTCACAATCTCAGAGAACCTAGACAACAATGAGGACTCTAAGAGAGACATGCATGGATCGAATCTACATGGGAAGTAGAAAAAGATAAGATCTCCTGAGTAAATTGGGAGCATGGGGACCTTGGGGGAGGGTTGAGTTGAAGGGGAGGGGAAAGGAGGAGAGGGGAGTAGAGAAAAATGTACAGCTCAATTAAAATCAATTAAAAAAAGATTTCTGTGTTCAGGGGAAGGTAGGGGTGGACAGCTGGCTGAAGAAAACATAGGGACAGAGGGAGAGCACTCAACATATTGACTGCACCCTGCTAAGGGACGAGGAGTTATGTCCAAAGAGTGACTAAAGATGAAGTCAAGGGCTTAGTGCCAACCATGCCAAGATGATGACCCTAGTCCAATTCCAGAAACCCATACAACAAACAGGCCAGCCAGGCACAGCATTCTCATAGCTGCAGCCCCGGCTCTGACGTGGGGGCAGGAGGCAGAAACAGAACTGTCTGGGAGCTAGTTGGCTAGTCAGTCTGGACCATATAGTGCAGGGATAGGAAGACTTCCCAAAACTTGTCCTCTGACCTCCATATGCACGATGTAGGACACGTGCCTCCCCTTACTCAGAATATAAAGACTCAAGCAGGATTTTTTTTTAAGGGATGGGAGAAGTGACAGTTTAGGGTGGTCCAAAGCTGTGACAGGGACACAAAAGGATGGGAGGAAAGTCCCATATAACAGGTATCTTTGTGGGTCTTTTGCTAAAAAAAACAAAACAAAACAAAAAAACCCATGGCAGTGGTTGCACATACTTTTAATCCCAGCACTCAGGAAGCAGAAGCAGGCATGGGTCTTTATGAGTTTGAGGCCATCATGGTCTACAGAGTGAGTTCTAGGGAAGCTAAGGCTACATTGAGAGACTTTCTCTCAATTTCCCCCCACCACCAAAAAAAAAAAAAAAAACAAAAAACCCAAACACAGTCTCCACCCCCAAATATCAGAGGATGACTCTGAATTCCTGATCCTCCCAAGCGCTTGGCCTGCAGGCATGGGTAGCCATGCCTTTGCCTGGTTTTCCCTGACACTGCCATGATTATACTGATTATCAACTGGACAGACTCTAGGATCACCTGGTAGTCTGGGCATGCCAGTTATCTTGCTTACAAATGTGGAAAAACCCACCCTAAAGAAAGGCAGTACCATTTCTTGGTTTGGGGTTACAGACAGAAAAACAAACAAAGAAACACACACACACACACGGCCCAGCTGAACATCCACTGCCCTACGCTTCCTGACTTTGAACACACAAACCAGCTCCTTCCAGTCTGACACACCTGCTGTGGAGTCTAAACAAACCCTTCCTGCCTGTAGTCGATTTTATCAGTCACGACCACAGCCACAGGTATCGAGACAGAAGTCTAAGACATAGGAAGAGGTGGGTGGAGAAATGATGGTCCCAGTGAGGGAAAGGGAGGTGGCGGCAGCCCACTGACCTGCCTGGGAATGCACGCAGTCTGCTCTGTTGTCCTGATCCCTGTGGCACCTCCACACACACCACACATTGACCACTCATTGTTTCTAGGCCAGACCCCCTGAGACAGGGAGACCAAGCAGCCTGCTGGGGTATGGAGAGGGCAATTATACTCGTTTGTCTACCACTCATTATGTGTCCCCTACAACAGTCTCGCTGTAGCCCAGGCTGGGTTACTCACTATGTAACCCAGGTAGAACTCTCTATGTAGATCAGGCTTGCCTCAAATCCAGAGATCTGCCTGCCTCTGCCTGCGATTAAAGGTATGTGCCATGACACAATACTCTTATTTTAAAAAAGAAAAAGAAAGAGGCAAGAAAAAGGCCAGCATGTTGACACACGCCTGAAATTCCAGAACCCAAGAGGTTCACGCAGAAGGACAGAGAATTCATAGCAAGTTGGAGATAGAGTCTTGGTGTGGTAGCCCACCCTACACTGTAACCCTAGCACTTCGAATTACTGAAAGATAAAGGCTATCCTGGGCAACAAAATAAATTCAAAGTTACCACCCCCCACAAAAAAAAAGGAAAAAAAGGAAATAAAAAGGAGGTATATGTTCAGGCAAAACATCTATATATACAAGATAATAAAATTTAAAAATATACGTTAATTTTTGTTTGTTTGTTTTTGGAGCAGGGTTCCTCTGTGGAGCCCTGACTGTCTTGGAACTCGCTCGGTAGACCAAGTAGGCTTGGAACTTAGAAATCCGCCATTAGCCTGGCTCTGCCTCCTTAGTCCTGGGATTAAAGATATGCACCACCACTGCCTGGTGACAGAACTGGATGAATTCAGCTGGTAGTAGTCTAGCAAGTAGAAGACTCTAGGGTAGTGGTTCCCAACCTATGGGCCTCAGGGTTGGGCCGATTCTTTAACAGTAGCAAAAATTATAGTCATGGAGTAGCAATGAAATAATAATAATTAAGGGTCACCACAACACAAGGAACTGTAACAAAGGCTCGCAGCACTAGGAAGGTTGCGAACCACTGCGCTAGGGGTTGTCAAGCCTAACCCAATGCTTCTCACGTTTCAGTTAGTGGGCTCCCTGAGGAATCCTAGCAAAGATGCAGAAGTAGGAGGATTGCCACATTTTCAGCCAGCCTGAGCTACACAGGACAGCAGACCAAAACAGAACAAGATCAAACCAGGCATGTTGGTTTGGCATGCAAACCTAGCACTTGGTAGGCTGAGGCAGAATGATGTCATAAGTCAGAGGCCAGACTCTCACAAATCCAAAACAATGGGGCTGACCCAGGTTCAATTCCCAGCACCTACATGGTGGCTCACAACTGCCTGTAACTCCAGTTCCTGGGGATCTAATGCCCTCCGGCTTCCTACAACACTGCATGCATGTGGTGGGCAGCCACACACGCAGGGGAACACCCAAACACATAAAACCAAATAGTCAAAAGATCTGTATTAATAGTTATAGATGACAGGCTCTTAAAAAAATTCATATTTGAGTGAATCTTAAATACTGCTCTGAGGTTATTAGTATTAAATGAAAGTTTCTGAGACAGGGCTACTTTGGGTGAAGGGAGTGTTAGTATTTAGGCATCCGTATTGGCCTGCTCTTAGGGTCCTGACAGGATACATCCTCAGTGCAGCTAAGAGACCTTCCTGTGCACACTTGCTACCTTCCCTTTTAAAGATGGGCCTGCCCACCTCCAGTCTCTTTCCCTCTTTCTTTCTCCCCATCTCTCCCTTTCTTTTTCTCCACTCTTGTCCCCAGAGACCAGTCTCTGCCCACTTTTCTCTCCTCTTCCAAAAAACCTCCCATGTGAGTCCCATTACATGACACGACTTCTCTACAACAGAGTCATTTAAGATGAAGCATGGAAGACCAAAGGCAGCTTTGATACAAGAGCCATGTACAGAGATTTATCTGTAAAGCGTCTGAGGCAGATGAAGGGTTTTCTCATTGCTTTATTTCAGAAAGAATGGCTGAAGCTCTGGGAGTAACAGCGGGAAAGTATGAGATACTCAAGAGGAGATTATAGGCCAGATCCCAGGAGACCGAGGACTGTTGAAGTGTGGTCTGGTCCCAAGCCGCTCTCACTGTCTATGCAGCTGTCTCTCTTTCCCCTCCCAAATCTGGGCCTGGCAACCATCTACAACGGAATCAGAGACTTTCCTCAGGCTATGTGGGGCCACCTTGGTCGATCCTGTCTCAGCAGGTACAGGTTCTGCTACCAAGTCTGACAAGCTGAATTAGGTCTCCAGAACCCACGAAAAGGTGGAAAGAGAGACGAGCACTTAGTAAGTTGTCCACTAACCTCTATACACAGACACATTATACCCATACAGAAACATTTCTAAAACTTTCAAAACAGGGCACGCAAGATGGCTCAGCAGGTAAAGATGCTGGTTGACTGTCTGGGCTCAATTTCCCGAACCCTCACGGTGAAATGAGAGAACAGACTCCTGTAAGCTGTCTGTATACTCATGCATAACACGCAAAACAAAACTAATTCCCGATCACCTTCAACTCCAGCGTCTACAACCCTGCTCATCCACCTCCGAGGAAGGACTTCACCTGGCCACTGCTCAAACCCCGGCCAGCATCCACAGTGCTTGGTTATACCTCAAGCACTTAGTAACCACTTGTTGAACAATCATTGAGTTTCCTGAGTCTGTGTGGCCCCAGAATCCCATCGGCAAGCCGCAGCCTGCGAACGAGCCTTGTGGTCTCGAGGCGACCAGGGCGGAGGGAAGGGGTCGCGGCGGAGGAACGACGCCCTCGGCCTCACCCAGGCTTTGGTGGAGCTGCCCGCTCGTCCAGCTGCGGGGGTCCGGTGGTCAGGCTCCCCTCACGGTCGTCCTCAGAGCCATGCCCCGGTCTCGGCTCCACGCCCTGCGGGTGATCCAGACTAGAGCGCCCGGTCCCGCCGGGCCCAACCGCTGCGCACGAGACCCTGCACCTACCTGTACCAAGCCGGCCTCGCAGTCAAAGCTGTTTCACCCGGGAGACGCTAACTTCCGGTCCCTGACGGAAGCGGAAATATACCGCTTTGGTTTCCCTCCTACCCCGCCTCCTTCAACCGCCGGTCTCTGCGCGTTTGTGACGTTTGTTACAGCGCGTGCGCCCGTCCAGCAAGTTCCCTGGAGTGGCGGTGTTTGGCGACGAGCCGTGTAACCCCGGTTAAGGTCCTCGCCCGTGACCTCCGTCTTCCTGGACTACTCTCGCTTGTCTTCTCCCCAGTCACAGTTCCTCCCCCCATCCCCCTACCCGTCCCCAAAGCGCCCCTGGGTTTTCCCAACCTCCATGCTCAAATATTGTAGCCCTAGAGAAGACTGGTTGGAAAGATCAGCAGGAATGAGGGACACGAGAACGGGGGGGAGGGGTAAATAGCGTCAAAGTACATTATATACATACGTGAACATGGCATAGAGAGACCCATTGTGTTTGATTAAAATATGCTAATGCAAAACGCAAAATACCCCAATCCTAAACCTTACCACCTGTAATCCCAGCAGGAGGAGGTCCATAAATTTAAGGTCCAAGGTCAGACGGTGGGTGGGGGGCAGAGTCAGGCAGATCTCACTGAGTTCGAGGCCAGCCTGGTCTTCAAGAGCTAGTTCCAGGACAGAGTTGAGAAACTCTGTCTCAAAAAATAAAATAAGAAAATTAAAGGTCCAGCCAGGCGGTGGTAGCGCATACCCCTTTAATCCCAGCACTTGGGAGGCAGAGTCAGGTGGATCTCTGTGAGTTCAGAGGCCAGTATGGTCTACAAGAGCTAGTTCCAGGACAGGCTCCAAAGCTACAAAGAAACCCTGTCTTGAAAAACCAAACAAACAAAAAAAAACAACAACAACAAAAAATGATTTACTGAGAGGGGAGGTTAGAATCCAGGAGAGCAGCTATCTCTACCAGCATGGAAGAAGAACAGCCTCAAAATGAACAGTTACAGGGTTTATATAGGGCTTCTTCGGGGTGGAGTTTTCCCAAGGAGAAGAGGGATTGGTTAGTTTTCCCTGCTCAGGGATTGGTTAGTTTAGAAGATTGGGGCAGAGATGCCTGGTCTCAGAGCCACACTGTATTTTTTTCACAGGCCTTTTTAAGCTTTTGGCTCTAGTTCTGGGGCCAGAGCATATTTCTTCCACTGGCTCTGATTGTAGGGACAAAGTATGTTTCTTTGGCACTGGTTTCAGGGTCAGGGTGTATTTCTTTGGTACTGGGTTTGGAACTAAAGTATTTTTTTCACTGACTTGGGTGTCAGAACCAGGGTGTGTTTCTTTCAATGGCTCTGTTTTCAGAACCAGGGTGGGTTTCTATCAATGGCTCTGTTTTCAGAACCAGGGTGTGTTTCTATAAATGGCTCTGTTTTCAGAACCAGGGTGGGTTTCTATCAATGGCTCTGTTTTCAGAACCAGGGTGGGTTTCTATAAATGGCTCTGGTTTCAGAACCAGGGTGGGTTTCTTTCAGTTTCAGAGCCAGGGTGGATTTCTTTGGCTGGCCCTTTTACCCTACAGTGATGGCTGTTCTTGGTTGTCAACTTGACTATATCTGGAATGAACTGTAATCTAGAAATGGAGGGCACATCTGTGAGAAATTTTTTGCTTGGTTTGAAGTGGGTAAGTCCATTTCTAGCCCAGACCTTTAAGGTAGAAAAACACAGCTTTGATCCAGATCGTGAGGCGGGAAGACATACCTTTAATACCGGCCACACTTCCTGCTGGAAGTCTGTATAAGGACATGAAATAAGGAAGCTTTTGCTCTTTGTCAGCCCCCCCCCATTTTGCTAGCGAATCTATTCCTTCTCTGACATTGAAGCCTACTTCAAAAAGACTAGCTGAGCCTTGTGGGACTGAGCCTAATATGGAGAGGGAGAGAGAGAGTGGAGGGGAGCAGGTATTCCATAAGTTCTGTGACTCTAGAGAATCCTGACTAGTACAGCTACTGAGTTTGCGGTCAGCCTGGGCTACAAAGACCCCATCCCACCCCCACCCCCCAGCCACTGGAAGGAGAGTAGATGAGGCTGGAGAGCTGGAAGAACAGTTTAAAAGCTGATGCCGTAGTTGAATGGATTGGGCAGGATTAATGGGAACAAATATGCATCTAGAAATTGAGCTATAAAGCCAAACTGTTTCTGGATCTGAGTTAGGAGGCACAGATTCATGATCCCTTCTATGCAATGAAGACTATGGGCATGAAGGGTAGATTCCAAGATTTCTGTGCAGCAGAGAGGGGCATTTGAGGCTCAGAACATTCGATGGTGGCAGAAGTTGCCAGATGATCTGAGAAGATAGCAGAAGCTGGAGATGGGTAGGCTGATGCTCAGGTTGACAGAGGAGTGATGGAGGAGGGTTATCTGTCTATTGTGTTATTTTCATTGGTCAATAAAGAAACTGCCTTGGCCCTTTGATAGGACAGAAAATTAGGTAGGCGGAGTAAACAGAACAGAATGCTGGGAAGAAGGCTATGAGGCAGATGCCATGGAGCCAGCCACCAGGTCAGACATGCTGAATCTTTTCCGGTAAGCCACTACCTCGTGGTGCTACCACGAGATTATTAGAAATGGGTTAATAATCAAGATGTGAGAGTTAGCCAGTAACTAACTCTCTAGAGATAATGGGCCAGGCAGTATTTAAATGAATACAACTTATGTGTTATTATTTCTGGGGCTAAGCTAGCCGTGCAGGAGCTGGGCAGGATGAAAAGCAGGCCTGCCTGCAGCTCCTCACTACATATGGCGCCCACGTGGATAACTGAATCCACAGAAAGCTTGAGAAAGCTTGGGAAAGAATAAAGCATGTTTTCTTGGTAGCAGCAATTTGTTGGGTCTGCTCTGCTTGCTAGAGGCAAGTAAATGCTCTCATCTAAGAGAGGCTTCCTGACTCAGCTTTAGCTGCAAAACTTTGTAGCTCCTTAAAGAGGTCCTGCCGTGAAACACTTTAATGGTGTTGATGAAAAGCTGAACGCATGATTTTCGGTTTTCAGCTGTAGCAGGAAACAAGCTGCGCTGTTTTAAAATGCCATCTTTCTGGGCTGCCCTGCCAGGGCAATCTCTGACTGTTTCAGGCAGGCAGTCCGACTGAGTGTAGTCTGTGAGCAGAATGCTGCAGCTTGCTTGCTAGCAGGGACCTTGAAACGCCATAGAGTTGTGGCAATAAAAATGGCTACAGCCATTTTTACCTCCGGCCGAGGTTGGAAAGCTAAGGAATGGGCCGTCAAAGCCGTGGCTTTAATCCTCTCCAAAAAGACTCATGTAGTCAGAAAGATATACAGTAAAGAGAGATTCAAAGACAAAGGAAACCTCCAAATGGTTTACTATGTGTTAAAAGTATATGCAGGCTAAAGGTTAAAGTTCTTAGGGTAAAAAAGGAAGAAAGAAAGTAGTTGGGTGTGGTGGTACACACCTTTAATCCCAACACTTGGGAGGCAGAGGTAGATTGACCTCTGTGACTTCAAGGTGTGGTAGCACACACCTTTAAACCCAATGCCTGGGAGGCAGAGACAGACAGATCTCTGTGATTTCAAGGTGGTAGCAAACACTTTTAATCCCAGCACTGGGGAGGCAGAGACAGGAGGATCTCTGTGAGTTCAAGGACAGCCTGGTCTACAGAGTTATTCCAGGACAAAGATATACAGAGAACCTGTCTCAAAAAGTAAAAGTAAAAATATAAGAAATAGAGGTTAAAGTAAAGCCACATAAAGATGGAAAATAAACAGAGAATCTTGATACTGTATGCTATTATGCTCTCTTTGAATTGTTTGAATGCTGAGGAAGGAGCAACGACTGCTAAAAGATATTTGTTTATAAATGCTGCTGAACTAATCCAAGATAGATATTTTGAAAATAGCTTGAGTTCAGAATTTGGATCTAAGGATATGATACTTTGGAAAGGAGGTTCTTCTTTTGTTTTCACAGAGGATGAGACCCTGTGGATAGCTTCTATCCCAGTATGGTATGATAGACCACACCCTCCTGAAAGGTTGCTGTGAACACCCTCAAAAAATTACTTCACTCAACTGCCGACTGAGATGAACCTGGCAGACAGGTTATACCACAAAAGACCTGATTAACTGCGCCCCTATACAGCAGGAAGAAGTTTGGAGAGAAATAACTACGTCCATATTCCCAAATATTGTTTATAAATGTTCTTTTACATTTAAAGGGGGATATGATATAGATATGAATAATTTCATTGGTATGGATTTTAAGGTCAATTTTGTTATATGTATATATATTTCTGATCTTGATTGATGTATTGTGATTGTATAGTTCATTTAAAAATGCAATGTATAATTAAAAATATAGGTTGTTAATAGATAATCATTGATAATAGTCAAGCTTGTAGTAATGTTAGTTTGATTTTCTAGATGTGCATAGATATATTTCAGAGAGACATTCTTCATATCTTTCAAAGACTACAGAACATGGCATTTAATGTTTTAATAACTTAGGACTTTTCATGACAATGAGACACGTCTGCTCCTGGCAGCACCAATCTACTTCAAGAGAAAGATGGGCATCGAAGAGGCTCCTTATGGAGTTTGATAGCCATTTTGGGCAAGAAACTGCTCTTGCCTGGACTGTTGTATAAACTGGACACAGAACCCGCAGAGAGAGGACTGCTGAACTTGCCTAAAGGTGAGATGATCTTTCAAGGTTCTTGATTCATGAAAGAGTCTGCGAGACATTCTGCAGGACACAGCAGATAGTGACTGAACTGACTTTGAAATTTCCTGCTTCATGGAAATGTCTCTGGATATTATGGGCCTGAAGGCCGAAGATGGGTGCCCCAACAATACAGAGGAACTTTGGGTGACTGTCCAGGCAGCAAGATGTCTCTGTCATTTCTAGAATTTTGGAAGTTGCTTACTTCTTGTTTACTTAGGTAATATTATATCCTTCTGGAGTCTTTGATGGAGTTGAAGAATGGATAGTCATAGTTATAGTTTTCCATTATTATGATAAAGATATAGTTATAAATATTGTGACTGTAATTCTTGCTTGATAACTGTTTTGTTATATGTAATTTTACTATGTTAAAATGAAAGCCTTTCTT